GGGCCGGATCCGGCCCGCGGGCCGTAGTTTGGGGACCCCTGCTCTAGAGTTTAGATAAGGCCTAAAACATACAACCTGACCTGTAGATGTAGTGTCCAATCTCGATCTGTCCCCCACTAATTAACTTTAATTACAGACCCCAGCTCACAAGTAAACCCAACGTTTTTATTGGGCTGCGCAAGGCAGTGCATTAACATTAGCACATAGCATTTCACTGCCCCTCACTAGTTAGCATTAGCCTTTTTCCCTAAAAAAAGCTTTTAGCTATTTTTCTTATTTATTAGCCATGTTTAGTATGCTAGCATGTGGGGTATCACATGCTAGTGATACCCCACATGCCACTGATAGCATTTAGGCTAACATTATTATTTTGGCTAATTTTAGCTTATACACTAATTTTACCATACTGAATGGCGTAAGTCCATGTTAGTCAACGTGCTCTTGATTATCCAGATGTTGTTGACTATACGTTAGCTAAACTTAGCACTGAAGCTAATTTTTAGCATGTGACAAAACATTGTGATGTATGCTACAGTGTGTCTTGTAGCCCTTGGAAGGGTGTGTGTGAAAACAAACATCCCACAACCATACAACCACTCTTCGAATGTTCGACTTCGGCTGTCCATGCTAGGCTCTTTAAACTTATCATATAAACTATTTCTCAGTCCAATACTCCTAAGAATGGATGTAAACGGCATTATGGAGAAGCATTATTGTGATGATGTGCTGAGGATTGTGTCAGAAAGGGTTGGAACTTCTTAAAGAGACAGAGGCTAATTTCAAGGCGTAAGATATGGCCACAATCCAAATTCAAATTTATTTTAAGCTATTTTTGACATTTACGAGATTTTCATTATAACTGAAGGTAACATTGCTACTTGATTGATATTGCCCCTTTGAGAACGTTTTCAAACATCTGGATGAGTTTCACATTCCTGCTGTTTTTTGAAATGCCTCAGTCTGGACTGATGCAATTTACATTGCATGACTTAACTAAATGGCATTGGAAGCTATGTGTTCAGTTTATTTCCAACTTTTTGTTTTCAGACAAAAAGTTACCTGCAAGTCTAAATTTCAAGATTATCATATCTTGAAATTTGGTGGTGCTTGTATGTATTACTACTAAGGCAGTATTCAGTATAGTAGTTACTAGTCATTGAACTTGAACCTCAGTGAGAAATTGCACTCATACAAAGGTACTTTTTGAATAAATACTATGAGGTCAACCTTTTGAACTTTTGGTCAGATTAGAATTTTCGGGGAAGTTTGTTTGCATCATATGATATGCCCAACACAGTGCTCTTTTCTACCTGTATTGTGTTCAATAGCTCATGTGTTTCAAAGTGGCCCATTTCCAGTATTTATTCAAATTAGTTTCTATGCAAGTTTGGAACAGTCAGCCACATGCTAAACAGACTGGGTAAAAAAAAAATAAAGGTAAAGATGTTGTACAGGGTGTTGGCTGGAGATAAGAAAAGTTAATAACCTGACAAACAGTACATATAGACTCAACAGGATGTTGGAGGTGAGGGGAGATTGCTTGGAGGAAGGCATTCCTGTCTTAGCTTGATCTTATTTGAAAATTCCCACAGCAGTAAGAAGTGCAGGAGCTGTAGACTTTCCCACCTGTATTGCCATGTCAGTCATAAATCCCAGACTAAGCTCCTGCAGCTCTGAGCTGTCACCAAGGAAAGAACAAGAGCTACTTCCTCCTGCACACAGCTACAGAGATCAGATGCAGGACAGTTACAGCACAGCCTTATTCGTCTACATAAGTTGGAAAGCAAATAAACACTACCAGTGCATCACCCATACTTTTATGTTTATAATTGTTTCATATTAACAGAAACTTTCACTTTTTCCATTTTATATAATTTATTTTCTTCTTAGGTGCTGGTATCTCATCTGGAATTTTTCAAGGTACTCATGCAATCTCAAGTTCAACCCCATTCAACTCAACCCAACAAGTGAGTAATTTACCTTAAGAAAGTTTATATTTAAAGAAGTTCCTGTGCTACTGAAGACATAATAGTCTTATTAATAATTATTGACCTACTAATTGTTAACATTTACCCTTTTTCTACAACCTGATGTAACCGATTAAAATTCTTGTTTCCATTGTCAGGAATTTTCTGCATATTCCAGCTACAGTCAGAGCCAGTACTCTCCCTATTATAATTCACATCACTACAACAGTCCCTACATAACCAGCAGCAACATCAGTCCTGCAGCAATTACAGCTCCTTTAGCCTATCAACACCCAGAGCACCCGGTTATGATGCCCAATCACAGCCCAGAGTCACATACAGGTAAAGAGTCATTTTCTTCTCAAGATCTAAGTCTTTGCTTCTTTTTGCTTTCTTGATTTATTCTTCTGTGAACTAGTTTTTCAGACCAACAACAAAAAAAAAAAAAAAAAAACCATTGATATTACACTTGTCAGTGGTAAGATCCACCAATTGCTTCAGAAAAATGCAAAAGTAAAGACAAGCCAACTTGAAAACATAAAGGCACATCAAAAACATCCTTAATGTAGCCAAAATGCACAGTTACTTAACATGAAACTCTGCAATAAGAGGTAACTGACTTTAAAAATGAATCATCTAATTAAACCAAAATCAGTCAAAACAAGAAAAACATGTTGATTTCAAGCAGGGTCAGAACTAATTCAAATGTTTCAGAGGCCATGCTGAACAGTTCAGCTCAGTGCACCGATGTGTTGTTTGATTGCAGGTTGGCACTGTGCAGGAGTGTATGCATGTTATTTTACTACAACTGTGTTTAATGTTGGTTATTCATTTAAATAGAGATCATAGTTTAATTGTTGTACTTAACTGAGTAATATCATCAGCACAGAGATGGTTAGAAGCACAAAATGTACTTAATTTTTTGTGTGAATTGTAAATTACTCTTGAAAAATCAAAAAAGTCCTTGCCATATGAAATGGAATATAAGTATAATTGCAGAATATCCTGATTTTGCTTGTCAAAAAGCAAGTAATTCATGTTAGTTAGGGTTAGGGGTTATTAGAATTGTAATACGTAAAAACAAATACTATTTATGTGGCTACTAATTAGATTCTAACCGTTAGAAAAAATATGGAATAAGTGTAAAAAGTCTTACAGATTTTAAGGTTATTTTCATTTAGCAGATTACAATCCACCACCCAGTCCACCAACACCGGGTAAAGAAGAGGGAATCCCAGGACGGAGGGGATCCGACAGCAAGTTGAGAGGAAGAAAAAGAGTTATTGAACCTGCTCCCCCTCTTGACTCTGATATAGAGGTAAACACCCTCTTGTACAGCAAAACTATTGGCATTTCTCACAAACAATATTTATCTTTCTCCCTTTCATGAACACATAAACTGTCATGCAGCTAACTTATCTGTTATTTCACTGCAGCGTGTGTTTATCTGGGATCTGGATGAAACCATCATCATTTTCCATTCGCTCCTCACTGGAACCTTCTCCTCACGGTTTGGCAAGGTAGGACTACCCTTCACTTTGTCATTAGCATAAGAGCCATACTCTGTGACAAATCCCAGCCCCACAGTAGGCGATTATAGCAAGCAGTTTGTTTGCTTAGACTCTTCACGGTAAACACAGAGTTCGACTTTGCGAAATACTCCCTTTGTCTCTCTAGTCACCTGCTTATTTGAACAAAGGTTGAAGTCCATAACCTTCAGGTCTCATCTCTGAACATTTTCACACACTGGCCATGTTATGCCTTCTGCCCTCTTGTTTCTTTTCATAATGCAGCGGGGTTGTTTGGCTACCCTGACAGCCCGCGGCGTGATTGACAGCCAGCAGGACCTTTACATAAGAGACCGGCAGCTGACAAGGGGCGGACAGTGGTGCATTTCTTGTTTTTGGCAAAGGCAGCTTGTTTTGAATTCTCACGGTCCCCCTGCGGGTTGACACAAGGCTGATGGGAGTTTGAGAGCAGCGTTGCAGATCATTTAAGCTCCCTGGCAGGCCTTGTGTGCCGATGTTTCTTTTTCTTTTCTGCTCTGTCCCGGCAAGGGTCTGGAGAGGCAGAGTGAGGAAGAAGCAAAGTGCTAGTTGGGCCTTGCGGATGTGTTGAAATGTGACTCATGTGCCAAAAATTCCTCCCACCACACAAACACCCCACTGCTGGATCCAGGGGAGCTCGGTTGGACAGATTCTGACATCAAAACTCAGACATGCAGCGGAGGAATTAAATGAGTGACAGCAGAGAAAACAGTCCAGTTCTCTGAGGCTTCATAAAACCTTGTAAAACGATAATTAACACAGAATTCATTCTAATCTTACAGCAATCTCATGTTTAATTAATTTTGCTCAGTTTATACAGTTTCTGCTTATTCATGACTTCACTGACTGAATAAATATGAATAGATTTTGAGAACAAATGGTTGGTTTTCAAGGTAAAACTGGGACCTGTTCTTGGAAATACGTGGGAGGCAGGCTGAAAGATGCCTGTTTTCAGCAGTTTTTGTTGAGCCAAACGTTACTGGAGAACCTTTAATATCATCTCATCTATTATCTCATTCATCATACAACACCCCATCCTGTCCTCCACTATGTGAATTCAAGTCTCCCAGCTGTCTTTCATATCGGCAAACTACTTGCATAAGAGTTAAGATGAGAAGTGAGGGGATTTTTGTATCTTTCCTTGTTTTAACATGAATTACTTGTTTTATCCTTTTTACTATGGACCTTTTATGTGTCTGGAGTAAATATATGATGATGACGATGATGATGATATATGAAAAGAAAAACAATTCTGACTTCGGGTAGCAGACCCTGTTTGAAGAATTAGACGATTACAGATTATAATTTTAATTCTCATCCGAACATTAAAAAACATTTGTTAAACATTTGACCTCTTCCTCTTCTAAAACTTCCTCTGTCTCAATATTGATCCTGTTGAACTTTTTTTCACCCTCTTGTTCTATATTGCACTCATTTCTGAGGGGGGGGTGTTGTAATTGCCCTATTCGTGTCATCTTTTTACCCTACTTGTGGCTTGTAATTGTAGACCAGAAAAAAGCCCCGGCTTGTCACTCTAAATACTTTAATGAGATGCTTACCTTTGGCTGACACTTCTCCCTTCTGGCTTGTCCTGCTGCCAGGGCTGCCAGCAAAACAATGTGGCACACATAACTTAACACACCTGCTTTTGCAGTATAGAATTACAGCACATCCATGCAGAGAGATTCTGTATTATGATTTATATGTCTCTGTGGATAGGAGATTAATTGTTTGCTTATTAATCTAATAACTGAAGCTGTTTTATCATATGACAAAGTAAACTGATGTGACCTTAACTGCTCTATGTTATTAGATCCACTTTTTTATTGTTTTTACTTCCGATGATATAGCAGGGGATATAAGTGGCAAATCTGTCTACTTCCTCGGCAAATGTGAATTTGCACATCTTGTTTCATCTTCAGTTATCTGGCCACCTCTGAATTCATCCTTCAATTTTACAAGGCCTTCCTGTTTACTGTGCTGTGAAACAGCCCTACACTACGGCACTCAAACCAGCAAACTTCACTGTTGATATGGAAGTTTTGAAGTGCAGCACAATTCCTCATCCAAAGTGGCTTTTCCAAATGTCCCGCAGCAAACTTTAATCAAGCTTCAACATGCTTTTTTTTTGCAACAAACTCTTGTGCAGTTAACAGGTGTAAAGGTCACGGCAGTCAACTGAATTACTTATTGTTTCATCGGAAAGCTCGACCTGTTTTTCTAGGTCTTAGTCTCACTGAAAGTCGTTCTTGGCTCTTGAGCAACTCTTTTCATTTTAGTTTGATGTCTGTAAGTAAGTCGTCATGTGAGGAGCACCTGTTCGTAGCTGGTTTATGGTGAATGGAAGTTTTTTTAAATATTTGGCTTGTTGCCAAATAGTAACCACCAGATCTTTCAGAAGTTTATATCTAAAATATGTTGAGTGATAACCTGGTAAGAATCTTTGCTAACAACTGGGGCTTAACTAGTTTATGTTAAATGGCACTGACAGGGGCCAGGATTGCCGTCTCAATACCGAGAAATTCCAGCAATTTCCTTGTCTTTTCATGCCTTTCATTACTTTTTATTTTGAGTGTTCAGCACTTACTCTCTTTGTCAATCCACTTTGTGGTGCCTTTCTTAATTTATGGACTTATTCTATGTGTATATGACATGGATTGTTGCAGGCAGGTCTAATACCCCATTAGAAATATATAGCATTGATACAAGACACATCTAATGGTTATTTTTACCTCACTGTACATTTACATTTTGCCTTTGTCATTACATTAGAGTTGTACCTACTGTGGGCAAGACTAGAAAAATCCCTGTTTATGCCTGTAAAAAATGTTCCATTTTCAATTACATAGATTTTCATAGAAAAGTCAGAACTAACACCTTTTTCTTGTTTTGTAACTTTTAATCTGATGTTTACTTAGTAGATTAAAACTCTTTAGTGGACAGAGAAAGTGTTCCAGATGAGAGAAAACAAACTGTCTGTCTGCTAGACAAAACTCAGGCGGAAAATCAACAGTAATGAAAAAGTTTGGCAGACAGTATGACTGACAGTAAAATATTCTCACTTCTCTCCCCCTGAAACCTGTTTGTCAGTGTAGTTGATGAGCAGGAAGTTAGTAGAAAGACAGGCAGCTGCACTGACATGATGGCGGGAGTAATGCTGTTTGCTAATTCAGTTTAACCGAACGTTTATTTACATATCTTAGACAAACAATCTCACAGTCAAGTTATGATTTTTTTCGCCTTATTTACATAATTTAAAAATGTGTAAACTGCTTATTTGAAATCCTTATTTTGTTATTATCTTTGTAAAGAAGGTGAAAGCATGTTTGTAGTTTCCGAATCCCAATTTTATTTTCTTTACAAAGCATATTTCAAGACATAAATACATAAATAAAGCTCACCATGAGACATTTCTTTTAGGCAACATATGCTATGTATTGTGACACAAAAAGTATCATTTTGGTTTAAGAAAGAGATTTTTGTCTTCCCAATGAGATTATGCTAAGATTTATAGAAGGATTATATATCAGGAGTATTAATTTCCCCCCTTTTGTCTGTTGAACAGGACTCATCAAAGGCAGTGTCTCTGGGTTTGTGGATGGAAGAAATGATCTTCAATCTAGCTGACTCAAGACTCTTTTTCAATGACCTGGAGGTGAGTTCTAAAATTTAAGCAAATCAGAAACAGATGAAGAACAAGCCTAAACTGAGAAAGTTGCAGATTTTTTTTTTTTTCTCATCCGAAGTCAACTAAGCAGCAATCGCCCGGCCTTCTTGAGTCAAAAATCTTTCTGATCCACCCTCAAATTAGGTTCAGTGCAGATCTCACAGTTTTTTAACTGTCAAAAATGTTCCAGTGCGCTAGAAAAAAGCCACAAATACACTTAATAGATTTTCTTAAAGTTCAACTAATTTAATATAGGCAACTAGGCATTAACACAGCTTCTAAAAGCAATGACTCAAGCGAAATAAAAAAAAAAAAACCTGTGTTTTAGGACATGCTAAAGACTCAACACTACATGTTTTTTTCATCACATTCCTCTCCCTTGTTCTGACAAAAGGGAAAAGATTAAAGAGGGACTCAGACAAAGGGAACAAGAACACTTTGCGTCATAATTACAGGTGTGTGTCTGGGCATCCAAGGAGGAAAATTAGTCAAACGAGGAGAAGCAATGTGGAGGAGTGAAAGGAGCCAACAAAGCCATTTCCAAACCCAGTTTTCATTCCTTCTTTTGTAGTTGGAGCTGAGTAAATCTCCTGAGCAGTACTTTGGAGCTGGCTAGCAGCTCCTGCTGTCAAGTGAGGCAGTTATCCAATTATATACTTACTTGTGTCAACAGTGCCGCAGGTATCACATGTGTATAGTTCACTGTTTGATAAAGAATGACAATAAAAATCTGAATTTCTGTTATGAATTAGAAATTGGTAAAATATCTTCCCCAAAGTATTCAGAAACGTTAAATATTGTATAATTTTGACATCTCATGCACTTTATTGTATTCTTTTTAAAATGTGATTTAATAGACTAGCTCAGAGTAGCTCAGAGTTTTTCACAAATACAATTTTGAAAAGTGCAACATTATTCAGGCTGCATCAACGTCTACTAAAAAGATGTGTATTTATTTGTAACTAGAAATTATAGAAGACAAACAAAAAAAAAACAACTAACTATAATGATAATAGTAATCCTGAAAAACAAAGACAAGTCTCAAGCCCAAAACAATAAAGAATTATTTTTTTTTGTTTTACAATATTAGTTCTTTTAATCAAGAACTATTTTTTTTTCTCTAAGTCTTAGTTCATATTCAGAACTGAAGTGCTCATTTACGTTTAATGGTCACCAGTCACTTTTCTGATAAAGCCACCTGAGTGAGATATGGCGACTAGCCAGTGAGAACCAAGACCTGCAATAATGTAAGGAGGATGAGGTAGTGTCTCTGTCTGGGTGACTGAAATGTGATAGGAGAGCCTTTCTGTCCTGGGTCACTTCATAACAATTACAACCTATTCATGGATTCTGTATATTGTGTAGCTTTCAGAAAAATCAAGGTATGCAGAGTTTCACAAAGTGAAAGATGGATGGTTTTGTGATCTTTTAAGTTGGACTCTGGACAGAATCATAAAAAATCTTTTTTTTTGCAGACATTTGCTCTCATATGCCTTTGTTATATGATATTCGTTGTGCAGTGCTTGTTTTTTATTTTTTTTTTCTCATAGTGATGAAGGCAGTTTTGCTAAAAATGGAAAGTAATGGACTGGTTTTAACACAGACCCTGATTGGTTGTACTATGGATTTTAATGTCTGTTTAAATGTTTGTGTTTAGTTTCCTTCAGATTACTACAAAGATACACCATCATTTTGCCACGATAACATTTGTTTAACTTTGACGTGTCACACTGTGAAATGGATCTCCTGACATGTCTGCTCTCGTTGTTATTTCCCAGGAATGTGACCAGGTTCATATTGATGACGTGGCATCAGATGACAATGGACAGGACCTGAGGTAAAATTTCTTTTGTGTTCCTGAAGAGATTTGATGTGGGACACAGCCAGTTTCTTTGTGGATGTGAACCAGATTTTCCCTCTAAATTTTAATACACCAGGTGAAAAAACAAAAAAGGAGATGAAGCGAGGAATAGGTGTATAAGAGATATGAGATATGAGATAAGAAATATGTTTATTCAAATTTGCAAGCTTGTCCGTGACTTTTTTGTTGTACTTCCTTAGCAGTAAAGTATGTCACATGATTATCCAACGCTTTAAAATCTCATAAAATATCTCTTACTTTAAACAACGTAAACATGTGTAAATACTTCAGGGCACTTTTGTGAGTAATTTGAAAAAAAAAAGACTAAGCAAAATAATTCAATTTATTTATACAGCGCCAATTCACAACAAATGTCGACTTGAAGTGCTGTACAAAAAAAGTTATTTCAGTTTAATCACACATACAAAAACAATGAGATTTTTTTTTATTGATTAAATAAGGCCATTTTTTTATTTCATGATTTTAATACTTAGTGCATATAATATTTTTTCTGACAAACTTTCATTGATGGTCTCGTTTCAGTTTTAAAGGTAACCTCTTGACCCTGACAGATGTTCGGTTACTTTATAATGTATACTTCCTTAAAATTGATGAATGACAAAGGGACTCACCTTAACAAACTGATAAAAGTGAAACAAGTTGGATTGTGTGAACTAAAATATATATATTTTTTGTTTGTTTGTTTGTTTGTTTGTTTTTTTGATGATCTGACGGTTTCCTTTATTGAAAATCTGCAGCACTTACAACTTTGGGTCGGATGGCTTCCAGAGCCCGGCAGGAGCAGGATCTTTGTGCCTGGGGTCAGGAGTCCATGGAGGGGTGGACTGGATGAGGAAACTGGCCTTCCGATACCGCAGAGTCAAGGAGATCTACAACACTTACAAAAATAATGTTGGAGGTCCGTCATGCTCTCATTTTGTTTGATACCTTTGTGAGCATGTGTTTGCACCTGTTGTAGTTATTTAAATTACCTTCATAAATACCTGGTGTTTGATTTTCCAACACGCTAAAAAGGGAAAGATCAACACAATTTAATATATTAAGTAAGATTTGCAGTCCCACTATGAAAAGAAGATTACTAATAACATGAACTGTGTAATTAGATTCACTGTGGTCATTATAGTAGAGCTTAAAAGTAACCCTTGGATATTTGCTGGAAACAATGCAGAGCAGAAAAATACTTGACGTGATTTAAATTTTTTCAGAAGGCTTAGCAATGTACCTTTTTATCAAAAACATTTGTTGCTTGAGTCTTTTTCTAACATTTTACATTGACAAATCAATTTTAAGTGCCTAGAAGGAAAATTATATATATATATATATATATATATATATATATATATACACACACACACGTGGAGATGTGTTTCAAGCTGTTCTGGACGTGTTTTTCAGGTCTGCTGGGCAGTCCCAAGCGAGAGGAATGGTTACAGCTGAGGAGAGAGATGGAAGTCCTCACTGACCTGTGGCTGACTCAAGCACTAAAAGCCCTGGCTTTAATCAACTCCAGGTTAGCCTTTCCTGCTCCACCAATGGAGGATGTTTTTTGATTTTATAAATCTTACAATATGAAAGGAATCACTGCTAAATGTGACATTTTATAATATTGCCTCCATTCTTTCCCCAGACCTAACTGTGTGAATGTGTTGGTGACCACCACCCAGCTTATCCCTGCTCTCTCCAAGGTGTTACTCTACGGTCTTGGCTCAGCCTTCCCAATAGAGAACATTTACAGTGCAACAAAGACAGGTGAGGAAAACCTTTGGGAGCAGAACAATGTCCTAAGGCAGTGATTCCCAACATGGGGGGAGGCAGCATCCCTAAGTGGGGTCCTGGAAAGCTCTTGGAGTGCCTGCGCTTTGATGCCAAAAAGACTTAGCATATTAAAATTTGCAGCACACTGAGATGACATAGATATCTGATTATAATGGTTGAGAGCACAGAGCAAATAGTGAATCATAGTGAATGACAGATAGTGCATCCTGAGTCAAACACTGCAGAAAGGAAAGTTAAAAGTTATAAAATTATGTCACGTAAGCAACTTTTTGCATTAATTTGTAACATGATCTGAGAGGAAATATTAGGCCTTGTTTTATTGCGTTTACACAGAACCTGCTTCTCAAAAGGAAGCGTAGTTCTGAAGACATAAAAAATTATCCTGAAGCATATTTCTCCTAAGAGCCCCACTCCATCCCCCACCACCCTCAGGAAAAGAGACTGGGATCCACTGCCCTAAGACAAGACAGATGTGTTGATGTAACACCGTCTATATTTTAAGTGTAAATTTGTTTCTTTTTTGTTTTGGTTTATCCAAAAATTCAGTTTTGTTATTTGATACATATATGTATGTTCCCTCTTTAAAGGAAAGGAGAGCTGCTTTGAGCGTGTATCTCAGAGGTTTGGTCGCAGAGCGGTCTACGTGGTAATAGGAGATGGAGCCGAAGAGGAGACCGTAGCCAAAAAGGTATATATAATCCAGTCTGTTGTTTTATGGCTGACTGCTGAAAAATGGTCCTCATAAAATCTGGTACACTATGAGAATCTCTATTTGCAAAGCTGTTGTGACTGATTCTTATATTAACACTAAGATGTCAGAATGTTATAAGGAATTGATATCAGACAGACAGCATGTTTCCAACTGGTCCAAAGGCCTACCCTACCTTGATTATATATTTGGGGCCTGCCAGCAATGCATAAGGAGAGCAGTGACTGACCTGCGAAGCAGGTCAGTCACTGCT